GGGCCCTGGGGCCGGGAGTGTGGCGTGGCAGGACGTGGGTCGGCGAATGTTCTTTTCGGTTTCGGGGGCCACGTCCCCCACTGGCAGCCGGTCTCGCTTCCGCAGGGCCTTCCCAGCCTCCGGGATGGAATGAATCGGCCTGTGCATCCAGTTTCCGGGGAAGTGGAGCCCTTGTTTTCCGGGCTAAAGAGTGGGGGGAAAGGGCCCCTTGGGATATTTGGTTTTTTGTTTTCTTTTTTCAGCCGTTGACGGTCAGATGCTCTCAGAGGGCGCCCGGGCGCCCGGGCCTTGGGTCTGAGGCCGCCCTCTGCGGATTGCACGTCTCTGATCTGGAGACGCAGACACATGCGCCCAGGCACGTCCAGCCTAGTGTTGGCGTAGCCAGCACTGAATGCTCAGTGAAGTCCCTGTCCCCAAAAGGACAGATTGAAAAGAAAAGAAAAAAAGACAGTGTAGATCTCGGACTGAGTCCCGATTCAAGGATTTGGAGACGCAGCCAGATGGTTGGTTTGGACCTGGAATCCAGGCTTCTCTGTCCCCTCCCGTGGGGCAGAGCCGTGTTTTCCTCTCAGGGCCGCTCTTGTGGCTGCTGACCTTGCTGGCTGTCGGCGGGAAGGCTTGCTATGTATTGTTGAGGGTGATACAGATTTCTCACCTCTGCAAATAGCTTCTCCGTTTCTGTCCCTCCTGAATTATTGATCTGAATGCGGCACACGGGGTGGCCTGAGCCTAATGCTCATGTTCCTTTCTTTTTCTCAGCCCCTCGCCCCCATACACGGGTTAGGCCACCTCCTGGCTCCCACTGAACCTCATGCTACTTCACTTTCACCTCCAGCCCCCCAGCCCTTCCTCTGGCCTCCTCTGCTCCCTTGTCTAGGCTGGGCCCCTCCACCCACCACCTGGAATGTGTTCCTGCCTGCACACCAGTCACCCCAGCTCCCTGACATCCCACCTCGCGCCACTTGCCAGTGTGCAGCCAAGATCAGTCCTGCTGCCCTGCCCACTCACGGGGAGCAGAGCTCTCTGGGGGTTGCTATCAGCACAACACGAGAAGTTCCCCCTCTGTGCTCCCTTCTAGTCTGCCATCAAGCACATAACTGCCACCTGCCTCTCCCTCCTCGAACCCAATGGAACCATCCACCCACGCCCATCAGCTTCCCTCTGACCCTCTGACATTGTTCCTTCCCCAACGTGACAGGACACCCTGCCCCAGAAATCCGGGTGCCCACTGCCCCTCTGAGGGTCTGTAACTGCCCCAGCCTCTGGATTTGTGGTGCCAGCTTTCCTGCCCCGGCCCTTAGGAACACGGACAAGCGCAGATGGGTGGTGAGAGGACAAAGCAATGTGGGGGATTCCTGGCTCCACACTGGTACCTACACAAAATAGTTCTCCCACATTCAGTTTCACTTTTTCTGTTAAAAAAAACAAAGGTTTATATTTAAAGTTCCCATTTCCCCTGCTTCTCAACTCTGACTCTCTTATTCATCCACCCAACAAGTTATTTTCCATTGTCACAGATTAAATAAGATCAACTATGTAAAGCATTTACACAGTGCTTGGGCATTAGTAAGTACTTCATATACAGCAGCTGTTATTATTAGCTATTAATATACCTGATTTACCAGTGAGCACATAACTGAGTGTAGGTACCCTTTGGTTTTCTTCTGAGATTCTGTTGCACATCTAATGAGGCTCAAAGGAGGAAGAAATCCTTGTCTAGTAACTGGACGTATTAAAAACTCTAGAAAGTAGTTCCCTTCTAAGAGGGTGAGCAAGCCAGTGCTTCTCGTTAGATGCACTAGATTATGTTGCGTCGAGCTAGAACATAAGCACCTACTATTCATTAAGGAACGTTGTGTTTTCTGAGTCTTTTCTTAGGGACCATCCCCTGAGCAGACTGTGCTGTAAGTGTGTGTATAAATGAGTGGCGTACTTGGGGACACACCCTGTCAGAAGCCACGAGAACTGTCACCCAGAACTGTCAGACCAGAGCCCTGAAAAGTGCCAGTTTTCCTCTTCTCATACCTGCTGCTTTCTCTAGATGCCGTCTCAAGTGCCCGGTGGCCTGGTGGCCTGTCCCGCCATGCTGTGCAGAAGTGCCCGGCCACACCCACGCTCCTAATCCAGGTCAGATGGAAGACCCCTGGCCTTAGCCCTGCAGGAAGGAGCTGTTTGACTGGAAACCCCGCAGGGCCCAGCGCAGAGCAGCGGGAGAGAGGACCCCAAGTCTCCTGCTTGGATTCGTGCCCTTTCCTCGCAGTGTCACTGGAGCCTGTGACCTCTCTCTGCTGAGTCTCAGTTTCCGCATCTGTAAAATAAGAATAATCCCCCAACATTTGTTTTTGGTTTTTAAAGCATGCCCTTTTTGGGATATCCTAGTAACACATCTGATTCTTTTTCTTTTTTTAATCCTTGCCCAAGAACATGCTTAGAGAGAGGAAGGGAGGGAGAGGGAGGGAGAGAGAGACATCCATGTGAGAGAGAAACATGGATTGTTGGCCTCCATGCATGCCCGGACCAGGGATCTAACCGGAAACCCGGGCATGTGCCCTGAGCAGGAATCGAACAGGCACCCTTTCTGTGCACAGGACGACGCTCAACCAACTGAGCCACCAGCCCTGCGGCTTTGTTTCTTTTGAAAGGCGAAACAAGACAAAGCCTGTGTGCACCGCCACACGATGGCCATAGGGCGGCTGCTTGATCCTGAGCTGGGCCTGGCCCCCTGAGGGGCTGTTTCTGTAGGTTTTCTTGCTCCTGCCAGTAAATTCCTTCAGGATGGGCCAGGGGATATTTAAAATGCCAAAGCGCATTTCACAGAACCGTACTCCCAAGTTTCTCTATTTTCAATTACATTGGGGAAACTCAGAGATGTCAGGGCGCACGCGGCCATGAATGGCTCTGAGAAACGACGTGCTGCGGAGGTGCGTCGTCCAACACAGACCCCACTCCTGCACGCGTACTTAGCCAAAGGCAGTTCTGAGACGCGGGTAAGTTCACCAGGGAGAGCTGGGGGGGCCTGGCAAGGCCTGGTGGTGGTGACCTGGGTCCTGAACATCAACGAGGCACTGCCCAGGCAGAGCTGAACTTAGGGGCCAAGATCCCACAGGCAGTCACTAGAATCTGGGCCTTCCGGTGACCTTGCTTGTACTCAGGGCTAGTGGGGCCAGGCAACATTCCAGATACAAGAGAAAGAAAGAAGCAAACGGTGTTTGGATGTCATTTTTGCTATGGACTGAATTGTGTTCCCTCTACATATGTGGAAGCCCTAACCCCCCCCCCGCCCCCCCGTGATGGTATTTGGAGATGGGGCCTTTAGGTTTAGAGGAGGGTGGGGCCCCCATGATGGCATTAGTGCCCTTATAAGAAGAGACCCCAGAAAGCTATGCTTTCTCTGCCAGGTGATGGCAGTGAGAAGGCAGCCTTCTGAAGGCCAGGAAGGGAGCTCTCACCAGCCCCTGGCTGTGCTGGGATCCTGATCTCAGACTTCCAGCCTCTAGAACAGCCATGGGCAAACTACAGCCCGCGGGCCGGATCCGGCCCGTTTGAGAATAAAAAAACTAAAAAAAAAAAAGACCGTACCCTTTTATGTAATGATGTTTACTTTTAATTTATATTAGTTCACACAAACACTCCATCCATGCTTTTGTTCCGGCCCTCCGGTCCAGTTTAAGAACCCATTGTGGCCCTCGAGTCAAAAAGTTTGCCCACCCCTGCTCTAGAACTATGAAAAAATAAATCTGTGTTGTTTAAGCCACCCAGTCTCTGATATTTTGTTATGGCAGTTGACTAAGACAATTCCTATTTTGAAACTCATAGAATGCTAATGTATCCCTTCCACTCTCTCTAAAAATCAATTGGGCGGGGGGAATCCTCCGAT